CAGATGGACATAGGTTGGTGTGCACTTCTTCATATGATATTTTCAAATGTTTGATTTGTTCCTCTTCAGTCTATTATAATCTCTCTGTTCTTTTTTTTTTCATGAAGTATGAAAATTGGTTTTTGTCATCCTACAATGCAAGGTTTAACCTCTTAAAAGAATCGGCCTTCAAGTATGAAGGCAAGAATATCAAGGCTCATGGCTGTAACATATTTGCCAAAGAACATAAAAATAATGTTTCCTTTTCTTTTAGAAACAACATTCCTGCTGATTAAACAATAAAAAAACTTCCAGGGTGATTAGCTGTGCACTTTCATGCATCCACATTCAGTGATATTCTTAATGATAAAGATATCAGAGCAACATCTATTCAGTGATCTTGATAGTTGGTGAAAATTGTAATTGTTCTAATAACTTATTCATTGTGGTTTCTGTACAAAAGTTTGCCAAGATGGGAAGAATTTCACTGTAGGCTTTACCCACCTCAATTGGGAATTGCTGGTGTTAGAATTATTGCTTAAACTCATCCTCGACTCTTAGGGGTTGTGTCTGCATTTAATACGTCTGTTGCTGATCAAATTATATATATTGTGAAAGTATGGTCTCAGTAGTTGACTCTTTCTTCCTCTGTGAAAATTAAAAGCTCATCTCTTTCCAGGAGACTCTTCTGTGTTTTGTCCGATGTTCATTTCTCCAGTTCCGTTGTGCTTTATAATATGAGACCTGAATATGCTTTGGATGAAATTGGAGCTGATACATGAATCACTTGTTATTGAACCTTAGCTAAAACTGGTGCAATCTATTGAGGTTTTCTCATGGATTTTCCTTTTTTGCTCCGTCATTCTATGAAGTATTCGTCCATGTGAATGACACAATAGTCATACCAATTATACCCTTTTATCTTGCAGAATAGACTGTAAAAAGGATGGCTTTTGGAAGTTTTGATTTCTCTGTATCTCCCTATATACATATACATAAATAACTGATAATCTTGATACTCTCCTATTGCCTTATAAAAGAACAATAGTTTATTTCTCCCCTATCACTTTCAGTATCTATAACTCATTTTCCTTGTTTTGGCAGTAATCTTGCTATGTTATCTGCACTTGTGAAGGATAATACTAGGACTGTTGTGCAACAAACTCAGCAACAAGTACATGGATTCCAACAACAGTTGCAACCTCAGCATGCAGCTGCCATTCGACAGTCACAGCAGGTATGTCGATTTGTTGTCACTTGTCAGTGGTATCCATCAAGTCATATTGATGTTGTCATTGCGGTTCACTTCTGAAAATGGCATAAGATTTTGGTAATAGGTATGCAATTGTTTGGTTTGCATGTACAATTTTGTATTGGTTGGCCAAAAGCTTTTTCAGGAGATATCAATCTTTGCTGTGAGATGCATTATTTCTATTTTTTTCTTTTATATATGGAATTATCGTACTGAACAAAATAAGTAGAAAGACAGAAGATGTGCTGAGCCATTCGAATTTTAGGGGTCATTTAGTAGTCGGTACGTGTGGCTATGTGCGATTGGACTTGGTAGGATATCTCCTTCAACTAGATTGTATTGCATGGAAGGATTATATTTGATATTATTACTCCTGTCCTATGTCTGGTTGGAGCACTACTTTAAGGGTATCGTTTCCCTGGGCTTTGGCCTAGTGGTGGTAAGATCAGAAATTGTGTGGGTTTGGCACATCTCAAAGGCTCGAACTTTGTCGCAAACAAAAGCCTGGTATTTAAGTGGAGAAGGATAGAGGCCGAGCCAATTATCCTCTGAGTTCTGAACCATTTTTCATCGGCTCTTGGGGATATCTCGATTATCAAAATTAATTCAGCGATATCTCATCACTAGTCCCATCTGGTGTTTAATATGATGGCGGGATTAAATTTTAAGTTCCAAAAATTTTGGAACAAAGTTTACTACTCACCCTGTCCCTATTTACTTGTCCATAGTTACTCTTTTAGTTGTCCCTATTTACTTGTCCAGTTTGACAAATCAAGAAAGGGGAATTTTTTTTCCTATTATACCCTCATTTAAACTTCTTGAAAATTTTCAAGTTTTAATTCATCATTTTTGAAACCATAATTAATAAGGGTAAAATTATAACTTCACTTTGCTAATTCTTGCTATCTAAATGAGTGTGTCTTTTCTATAGTGGACAACTAAATAGGGACAAAGGAAGTACTTTTCTCATAATTCACTTTCCACCTCAGGGATCCAATTCCAAATATTGAATAGGAAAGCATCAACAATAAAAAAAACTTCCACTTATATTTGACAAATTATAGGAAAAAAATTGATGCACTACAAAATAAAGAACACAAATGAACTATGAAGAAACTGACACAAAAACTTTGGAAAATTTGAAGAAAATAGAGTTTTAGCATAATGCATAAAGTAAAAGATATCTAGTGAAACAAGAATTTGCATAACATGATTTGTATGAAAACTAGTTGCAAAAGTCCCTTCTAAAAATAAGAAATACTATTTGTAAAAAAGTTGTGCTTGAATTTTCCCAAGAAAACAAAGGAAATTGTAGGAGAGTAAATGGGTGCCGAAGTTGTGAGTTGATGGGTTACATCTTGTAGTTGATGTTGGAGGAGAGAGGGTCGGGGGTGGTAAGGGAAAGGTTGAACGGTAGGTGGTTTGCAACGTCAGGAAAGGGAGGAGGTTTTGCGGGCTGATGGAGAGGTGTAGTGAGTGAACCAGAGAAGAGGATTAGGACCAACAGACACACGGGCGGAAGAAGATTTTGCTCGAAGCCTTTTTGCATGTTAGGGGCATAAGTGTCTTGTTATATCATAATCAACTGGTATTTTTGTAACTGGGGTGGTAAATCAAAGTGTTTACAACAAAAGGGAATATGATAATGGGGAAAGCATATCAATTAATAAGGGTAGCAGTACAAATCATCTAGGGAAAAGAAGCATAACACAATGAAATAATACGGTGAGCTATGTTGCTCGGATTATTCTAAAATATTGACAGGTACATGTTGGGTACTCTAGAAATAGTGCATGTTTGGAGGATCCGACATGGGTATGACAACATTTTTGAAGAGTTCGAGCAACTAGGCGGTAACAGAAAATACAATACATGTACGCGACTAATATTACTACAGACACAAAGCTCCCACCAAGCCTAATTACTCCAGAAGTGAGTCAAAGTTCAACTACCTACTTACATCCTACTCTAATTTGTGGCCTCCAAACCCTCCTATCTAAGGTCATGTCCTCGGTAAGCTGAAGCTGCTCCATATCTTGTCTAATCACCTCTCTCCAATAGTTCTTCAGGCTACCTCTCCACATACCCACTATATCCAATCTATCGCACCTCCGTACTGGGACATCTCCTCTTATCTCAGTCTGGCTTCCTTCATCTAGCCCCCACTAAGGCCACTCCATCCTTGTTGGTCTAACCTACAACTCCGTAGAACTTACCTTTGAGTTTGTTTTGGAAGTTAATTTATTACATATATAGTTGGAACTCATCCACTTCTTTTTTTTTTATATTAAGTATGACCAGTTTGTAGGATATACGAAGTAAATAAATAATGGTAACAATTAACTATAATGAAATGAAATTTTAAACGATGTTACCAGTTTCAAATAATTGAAACAAAATTTTAAATGATTATTTTGTAGACAAACAACTTGATGTAAAGTATAACTTTTAAGATTGACGTTTTTCATGGTCAAGGTTGGGCATCATCATGGGTCCATTTGTGATTCTGATTTTTTGAGGGGTTATGGGCATAAACGATAAACCCATCATCAAAATCATTCTAGCCCAAACCCATAAAAATTTGTCAGATTACATGGGTTTTGGTTTTTTTTTCCACCCTTATTTGTAACAATCCATCCTCCCTTCCCCAAGGACAATATAGTAGCTTTGATAAATCTATCTGGAGGCCTAATGCTGAGTTGTACAAATCTGGATAAGAGTTGTACAAAATGCGGGATAATTTATCTTGACCTTTATTCCTTATTCAAAATCTACTTGATAATATTTTGGCTTTTTATTAGATCGTATACAATTACATCTTGGGCTATGTGCAGATATTAAGAATGCATCCTCAGATGCAGCAGCTTATCAATTCTCAAAATCTGACTCCTCAGCAACAGCAGCAGCTGATCAGTTCTCAAAATCTGACTCCTCAGCAGCAGCAGCAGCTGATCAGTTCTCAAAATCTGACTCCTCAACAGCAGCAGATGATCAACTCTCATAGTCTGACTCCTCAGCAACAGCAGCAGCTGATCAATTCCCAAAGTCTGACTCCTCAGCAACAGCAGCAGCAGTTGATCAATTCCCAAAATCTTACTCCTCAGCAACAGCAGCAGTTGATCAATTCCCAAAATCTTACTCAGCAACAGCAGCAATTGATCAATTCCCAAAATCTTACTCCTCAGCAACAGCAGCATCTGGAGAGATTGCGAAGGCGCCAGCAGTTAACACCTCGTCCTGGTATGAGTATGAACATGAACATCGACAAGGACAGGCCCTTAGTCGAAGTAAAGCTTGAACATCCAACTGATTTCCCAATGGACAACAATGCCTTTAATGCAATGACTGCGAGACAGCCACAGATGCAGCAGTTCCGTCAGCAGCAAATTGCAGCTATGTCATCTCCCTATGCTCAAAACACTAATCAGTTTAGGCCTATGTCTTCTCTTCAAATTCCTCAAGTGCAGTCACCGTAAGTAATATTATATGCAATAGAAGTTGTAGGCGTCTAACTATATCATACAATGTATTATCATATTCCATTTTTTTTACAGGAATATGGGAATGGCCAGGGCTCCCCCTGTAAAAGTCGAAGGATTCCAGGAATTAATGGGTGGAGATGCTACAATGAAGCATGATTCTGAAGAAAATAAGCTAATGTCTCCTCAAAAATAGTATTGCACCAATGGCTAGTAAGTAACGAATTAGCAGTAGATGGGCTCTTAACAAAGCTGGTTTCTTGTCACTCTTGTGAACTATTTTACATTGTTTAGCTAAATTATTTATACGCAGAATGACTGCTAAAAGAAAATTTAAGTAGGCATTGTACATTTTTCATCAGGATAGCTGCTGCGATCAGGTGTGTACCATATTCCGTTGTCATTCAGCTTTGTTCCTTAGAAATGTGCATATGTTTTATTTGTAGAATTTTATTTCCTTGTCTCATGAAGCCCTGTAATTTTCTTCAGCAAGCCTAATATATTCCGTGCTCATGCACAGAGAGTATTTCCTGCTGATATGTTGCAAAATGGGTACCTCAAGTTGGCAACATTTAAGCAAATGGATCACCATAATGTGCAGAATTTTTGCTTGTTATATTCACTATAGAGTTGTCTAGGGTGGATTAAGTGGAAAATAGACAGGTAGAATTAGATAGGAAGAAAAGGAAGGGGATAAATTTTATTTATTTTGTTTTTTGATTACATAGATTTCTAGGAACTATGCCCATAAGACATTTTTCTATGATCTTCCAAAAACTGAATTAGATCTTCTATATACTTATCATGTAGCCTTTTATTCCCATATATTGAACTGATTTCTCTTGCTTCCTCTCTAATTCTTCTTCCATCTTTTTCTACCATTACCAACTTCACTGAACTGGATACTGAGTCCCTTGTGTATGAACCATCCTCTTCATTTCTTGGTATTTCTATACCAATCTCCTTATCCTCTAGGACTCTTGCATTCAAACCTTGATCAACCAAAAATGGCAACATAATCAACGGGTGACCAAACATTAACCCTTCTATTATCGAGCTCCATCCACAATGAGTCAAGAATCCACCAACTGACTTGTGACTTAGTATCTTCAACTGAGGTACCCAACTCTTCCATACTATACCTCGACCATGTGTTCTCTCCTCAAACCCATCAGGCAGCTCAACGTAATCCATGTGTCCTGAGTTAGATAGCTTCCTCAAAACCCAGAAGAATGGTACCCCAGACAACTCCAACCCATAGGCCAACTCGTTGATTTCACGTGGACCAATAGTCACTTCACTCCCTAATGCTACGTAAACTACCGATCCTTTGGTTTGTTCATCTAGCCATCCTTTGATGCATGTCCAAGTCCCATTGTTGTCACTGTTGTCCAATGAAGGTGGCATTAACCCCACTGGAACTATAGGCCTATGGTGAAGATCCTCTAGTAACTTCAACCACTGACCTTCAAACTCATAACAGTGACGTATAATAACTACGTCAACATCCTTTATCGTAGCTCCAGCACGATATATGTCCGACACACCAGACACGTTCTTCTGCATGGCATCAACTACCCACTTAGCTTCATGGTGACGAAAAACCGCCTTTGTTTCAAACGGTATCCATTTCGGCATCACCATGAGATCCTCTGGTGTTGGTGGTGGATCAGTATAGCCAGTGAGCATCATGTCTGTAGATCCCCAAAAAGCCAAAAACCAAGCGTTAATAACTCGAAAAAAGCCCCTAGCGATCCTTAACCTAGTTGTGATTGGTGCTAACCAATAAGGTGCAAAATCATGAATAATCCAATCAGGAGAAGTTTTCTCCAAGAAACTTGTTAATTGAAGTTCCATTCCATCTAAGGCTTTTTTGAGATAGACAATATCTTTAGTGTGAATATCCATAGTTGCTTCTGCATTTTCTGGTAATCCATCAACATGAGGAAGAGGGATTTTCACTAAGGTTATTGATGTGGAATATTCAAGTGGGAGTTTTGGGAGTCTATCAATGTTTCTTGGGGTAGAAATGAAGGAGATTTTGTGACCTTTTTGAGCTATTAATTTGGAAAGTTCAAGGTATGGTATAATATGACCAAAAGCTAGCCAAGGGAACATGACTATATGAAGTTTGTTTGTCATGGCTTTAGAGCTTTGTATGTTTTTTCTGTGTTTTGTTTATAATAACATAGTCACAACTATATAAAGAGTGTAGACAGTGGAGTAAATGATCCCTTATGTTTGAGGGTAGGTTCAAAATAGTCCCTCAAGTATGTATTGAACAATTTTAGTCCTTCTCAATTTGCTGACGGTCTTTTAGAAACAATCTCTCTACCTTAACAATGTAAAGTAGCGGTAAGATTTGCATGTGCACACACCATCCTTTTCGGAGTCCAATTGGGAGATTATACTAGGTATGTTGTTGTCGTAAATTTGTTAAAAAGTTTACACTTTTAAGGGCCTATTTGGAGCCATGGATATTTTTTCACTTCCTTTTTAAATTTATTTTGGGGAACTGTTTGAAGAAGTCCAGAAAGTTGTTTTCACATCAAATTACACACAAAATTCAGAAACACTTTCAATTTAGATCCAATTCTCAGATATCATTTTTAACTTAAAACGAAATGCTATTTTTTTTTCCTTCAAAATCTTACAATTTTTATGTCCAAATAGCCAAATAGTTTCTGCTATATATTTAACAAATTATATTGTCTAGATTTGACGAAAATAGTGGAAAAAAGATTTAGCTATAAAGAATCAAGATTTATATCCTCAAGTATAATAGATAATGTATCCTTTTGGGGAAATTTATTAAAATATTTAAGATAAACCAGTGAGATAAACATTATTGCAAGAAAAAAATATGAATTGTGTGACAGCAGTGTCAAATACTAAATCTAATGGAAGTGATTGAAAGGCAATAAAAAGTTTAATTAATTCAATAAAATTATTAAAAGTATATATCTGAACAGTAAATGACAATGATTGGAAGACTATTATAAATTATAATATTGCAATTATAGATGCAGACCTGTATAATGAAGAGAATAATACACGTTATTAATGTTAAATTAATAATAATGATGTTATAAGACCTCAAGACGATTATTTTTCTATGTATATATTTTAATGATCCATTGTTTTAATTAACTTGTCCTGATGTAGATATCACACGTAACAAGTAGTTCAAAATAATTGTTAAAAAAAGATTTTCCATTTTTTCCTTTTGCTAAAATACTATTTTCTCTATATTTCCATGTTTTTGTTTCAATAAATATGTAAATTAACGTTATTATTCTTTATTGTTGACAAATTATAAGAGGTTGATGCCACCACCATAAATTTGATGTTGTGGATGAGATTGCTCCTCTTTTAATCAACGGTCTTATGTTCGAATCTTGAATATGAAAAGAAATCTTTCAGTAGGGGCGTTATGCAGGCCGCAATATGAATTCAGATTAGTCAGATTTCAATCTAGGTATCAAATACTGGATGAGAAAAAATGAAGTTGCTATATTGACTTTCATACTATTACAATTAAGAATTAAGATATATGCTTACATAATTTTCCAAGGTAATCAATTACAAAAAATAATGATAATTAATAAAGAAATTAACCCCGCACTCAATATCATGTAAGAAAAAAGAAAATAATATTAACATATTGAGGTAATTAAAGTGGAAAATCCTCCTAATTTTATATGTATAATATTCACTTAATTGATTAATTTTGTTGTGGAGGTCCTTCCAAACGAATATAGTCATATTGATGGCCATAGAAAGGATTACCCCCTTTTATTTGCTTTAAATATATTGTATTTTCTCCCTTTTGTAGATGTAATCCTTGAATTTTAAAATTGAAGAGCCAATATAATCCATGTATCCCATGTCTAGCTATAGCATTACTCCTCCCAATTGATGGAGTTTCAAAGTGAGGCATTGTTCTTGAGGGGTTGTTGATCCTCCCCTAGAATTTCAAGAAAAAAAAATTAATATTATCAAAATAAAGATATCGTTTTCAAAGTAACACAAACCAGCAAGATGAAAGTTCAGATAGCCAACCAACTGAACTACTGAAATTCACTTAGATTATTTGATGATTTTATTTGAATTCTATTCAATTATCTTTCTATCATATTTCATTGCTTAGTATATCATATAACTATGGCTCGTGTCCAAGACCTTTAGTTAAATATATGGAAATTGATTATATTTTACAAATTCCAATAGAGGCTTGGCTATGTATTTGTATACCTGTAAATGGGAATAGGTTGCAGAAGCCAGTGCCACACGTAGTGTATAAGTTCCCTTTGGATCAACACTTGGGAGTTTAAATGAAATTTGCCATGTTGTTGGTATATAATTCTTGCTTCTAGTTCTCCTGCAATGAAATATAAGAGTATAAAAACTTTAGAAAATATATACAAAATATATTTAATTACTTGATTTAAATTAATGTAGTGGGAAATATGTACGACCTTTAAAGGATTTTTTTTAAAGGTTACAGTGCGTTAATAAATATCCACTTCATTTTTACTCAAAGGTCTCAAGTTCGAATCTTGAAAAGACCTCCTCCCTCCCCACCCAATCTCTCGATGCTCAGGACTGGATATCTAGAGCATAGACATATAATACGAGAGCACATCATCTGGTAAAAAAAGAACTGAGATCTGAGTTAGGGGAGTGTTGAGCTTTTTGCATCGGACTCTTTAAGGATGGGATAACTTCTGTACACAGTCTCACATAATCCTCCCTTCACAAGCTGACTTTTAAGATCGCCACAATCAATCAAATCCATGAATTATTTTTTAATCATGTAGTGAATTTGAATTAATTGAACCCGAGAAAAATATTGACCGAATAAGAAGTCAAAAATGAAAATATGAATAATGGTACTAACTAATAATAGTTACCTGGTTACATGAGCAAAGAACCAATCTTTACTATAATCACTAACACCAACTTTATACGCCAAATCTTTATTTGGATATAAATCAGTGTATCGATCCCACAAACCATATTGCCTAAATCTGTTCACATTACAAACAATAATCAAATTCATATCTATATAATTCAAACTTTATACTAAAAATAATAATTAAGCAAATATAAAATTAAAAGGGAAACTAACTTTTGTGTAGTATTGTTGAATAATTGATTTGTTAGGGCAGGCAATGGATCAGGCACAAAAAATTCTCCAGCACTCCTATCAGGAATTCCAATTTCCCATAAAGTTGGACCATATCTTGGAGGATCATAAATTAGGTTACCTAAGTTTATATCACTTCCTGCTTAATTTCGATAAATTTTTACATTATCACATCACTGAAAAGATACGTATATACAAGTAGCTTTCTATTGAAAGTGAGATATAATGACATGCACAAACTTTAGAAGGTTAGAATCAAGTATGACTCATTTATTAATATGTTTCGTCTTAATTGACGTATTCAATCCATCTATTTGTCACTGTTATATTAAATCCGTAAATTTTAAAGTACAAAAGGGGCAAAAGTAAAAAGACCTTGTTTGACAATAATGTCATAGTTGTATTTGTAATCTCCAATAATTCCAGGGACCCAAGAATACAAGTTATAAGTTCCAGGTCTAACACTAGTAATATTGAAGTGTCCAGTCTCATCTGTTTGAATCCAAAATTGATAACCCTGAAAGGAAACAAATACATTCGAGTCGATAAATTATACACAAAATTAACGATCATTCAAATTTTTATCGTAGGATGAGAGTATTAACCCCTTGATGAAAATTTTATCTCCGTCACTGCGGAAAACTCTTATAAACATTGGGGCCTTACTTTAGTCTCATATTGCCATGACCCAACATGTCCAGGAAGTGCTAATCCAATATATGCTGATTTTGCATAGACAGGATTTTTGTTTATGTACCTAAAAAAATAATAATTTGTATTAAAAAACATTAATTAATATTTTCCTCATAGTTTAAAACAATATAAACACGGTAAATTAATTAACTAAAGTACCTGTCTCGTACGAATAATTGACCTCTAATTGTACCACGTTCATTAGCATGAGGATAATCAATAGATTCTGGGAAATCATATGGCCATTTTGCAGTTTCGTCTTCCATCTGCATAGTAATAAATTGAATTTACGCGATTTTAATTTATATATACTGACAATATATAGTTATTTCACGTCAAATAACTTAAATCATAGAGTAAAATTAATTAATAACCTAGTTTAACAAGTTAAAATGCATGCTATGGAATATATAGTGATAATTATGTGATTATTTTGTTTCACCCAAAGTCAGAGTTCGGTGGAGATTTATGAATTCGAACGAATCTACTGACTTTTTCATAGATTCAGTATTTTTATTAAAAAAATTAAGTGCTTGTATAGGTATATCAACTTGGGAACTGGCTAACAAAGAATCGACAACTTAGAGGTAAGAAAGAGCGGTGAAAGTGATTTTCGCCCTACTGTTGAGGGTTTGAACCCCACTATCAATAAAAAAAAAATCTCTTTTTCTTTTTAAAAGAAGCATGCCGTGCAATATTTTTCTCTTTATCCTAAAATTTATAATCCCAAATTACTAACTCTAACTCCGTCTCTGATCACTTTCATCTTTCGTATAAGATAACTTATTCCATCATTTATATAAAAAATGATATACAATATTATTTTGAACTAAATAATACCTATAACCAAACGCAAGATAAAATAATACCCCGAGATGAATGAATTTACCTGTCTTTTAGCATCTTCCCAAAGTGTAGGGTGGTTATTACCAGAATTAGAGTTGAGGTAGAAAAAAACAGGCCCAAAAACTTTTTTCCATGGCTCTCCCTCTTTTATTTTGACTCCCAACTCTGGCCCTGCATAATGACCACTGAAAAATATCTGTAAAAAAAAAAGAAAGATAAATATTGCTAGATTAATATTTGAAAAATCGTAATTAAGTTATTTTTTATATTTAAGAAACACTTTTGGAAGTCAAAATCTGAATTAAAAGTAGATTTAATTACTTTTAAGTCAATTTAAAGAGTTAACACCTTCTTAGTCATACGAGCTCAACTTAACATGAGTTAAACGAATTATATTTTTATAGACTAATTTTAACATAAAGATAACATAAGTTAAACGAATTATATTTTTATAGACTAATATTATAAAGACGACTTACCGCTAAAGAGGTGGGACCAGCATGAGAAGTAAGATCAAGCTTGGTGGGTCCACCATTACGATCTTCATAACTAGGTGTTATAACCCAAAATCCTACATGTGGAGTATTGCAAACCCATCCATGTACTTTTATATCCTTATTCTCAAATGAATATTGGTACTTATCATCCACCTAATATTAAAAAATAAATAAAATGAAATTAGGGATAGTTTGGTTACCAAAAATTAAGAAAATAATTTTCGATATAATATTTAAGGTGTGAGGGTTGCTCAGTTAGTTGACTATCCTTCATTAGTCTCTCACTTGTGTTAAAGTATCGAATCTCATTTTGCTCCTCCACTCTATGTGAAGTTGATCAGTTATCGAATTTCATTCTTTCTCTTGCCTCATCTTAAAAATAATATTATTATATAGTTTCGAATAATAATTGTGTTATTATTTTTACCTCTCCCTTTAATTTAGGATTTGATGGATTTGTTAGTCTAACAGCTTCTCTATAGTCAAGAATTTGTCCATCAGATCGATCTTCATCAGTTGGCATCATCCTTTGAATATCATCTGATATTGCCATATAATGGAACCTAAAAACATTCCAAATTCAACAAAAAAATGAATCTCATTAAATAAAGGATAAATACGAAAAAAAAAGTTTCTCAATAATATTAAACTTTGAATATTTCACTTATCGTGAATTATGAAAAAAATCGCAACGATTTACTTAATAGTTGAAATATGATTAGAGGGAGTAATTTTCTAGATTATTTTTCTGAGACGTTGAAATGCTAATATATAGCCCCAGAGTATTCATTTATTATTGGTGAAACTACGTAATTATATAAATATTTCTATTATATTTATTAATTTTTCTTATAGTTTGAAAGAATTAATTAAATTTTATCTCTTTATTTAATATATAATTTTACATCAATTTTTAAGTCAGATACATGCGAATTACATTAAATACATCCCATATATATTATACATGAATCTGCCTATATGCT